AGCCTCCAGAATGCCTTGGTGGCTCTGGTGGCTTTGGGATCACCTGTAAGAGTCTTAGCAGAGCTTGTTTCATCCACAGGAGGTGACCTTGTGGTGCCTCTTTGTGCTCTCAGGAAGGAACCTGGCAGTTCTCTTGCAGGAGCTGCTGCTGATTAAAACATCAATACCTTGTTCAAGGCTCACACTTTGAGGGACTGTGGCTTTCCTCAGAAAGGTTATTAGGCTTTTTCCATCCTTTGATGGGAAAACACAAGTTTCTGTGCTCAGCAATTCTGTCTCGGAGAGAAAACTCACATTCAGATTTACAACATCGTGCAAATCTCACTATGGTCACAAAACCTCTCTGGGCTGGTTGGAAACCTCACTGCTCCCAGTGCCTGGTTTGCTGCAGCTGCTTTCTGGAAAACTCTTAATGTTTAGGATATTTTCATAAGGTTTCATTTCTCAGATTCCTGGATTTGTAGGTCTCTCCTCAGCCCAGCTGACCTCTTGTGACACAGGCAGTGCATTCCTGGGTGTTGTGTAAGGCTCGAGGTGGGGAGCAGCAAGGAAGAAACTTTTAAGATGCCTGAAGCCGGTATTTACTTGACTTCCAACTAATGGATGCCAAAACCATTTTCAAAGCAGTATTTTGCTACTGCAAGTGGTGATTTTAATTCTGTTGCCTCCTTTAACTCCTGTACAAAGTGTCTCTCCCACTTCCAGGGGGCCTCGTGGCTGCCCAGGAGGAGCCAGGTGTTTGTGGGGGAAATGAGGCAATCTGTGGTAGCAGATTCCAGCTGGGACTGAGAGATCCTTCTAATTCAGTGGGAAAGGAAAGGCTTGAAGTGTTGTTGGCAGAGCCTGAGAGCCCTTGCTTGAAGCTGTCACTGCTGTCCCCTCCCTCGGGCCTTGGAGCTCTCTCTGCCCTCGTGTGGAGCCACTTTTGGCCAAGTTCAAGCCTGTTCCCGGCAGGTTTGCTCAGCTGAACAAGACCCGCCACGTGCTGATATCGCTGTAAGTGAGCTCTCCTTTCACAGCACTCATCACCTTTGTGTCTGGTTTTTATGTGAAAATGCTGGGTTTGAGGGGAAGCCTGACTAAATCTCTATAGAGGAAAAGAATGTGAAACTCTGAGCTAGTGGCTGGTGGGGGAAATGGAAGCTTTCTTCTTGGGAGCAGAGTATTTCATTGGATTTTTGGTCTTTCATTGACAAATATATGGTTTTGACTTTTATCAGTTGCATTTGGTTTCTTCACCAAAATTCAGCCTATAAAGGAAAGATTCACAACACCAAATCACTCCATAAACACAATTGCTGACTTGAGTGACTCCCAGTCAGCTAACACAGGCTGGAATTGCGCAAAGTGGGGTGGGGAGGAAACTTGCCAGAATTTTCTTTGCAAGTGGCAGAAGGCCAGGCCAGCCAGCAGCAAGCAGCTCCATGGAAAGATGGCTCCTTGGAGTCAGGATTGTTCCAGGCCATGTGGGCAGCAGAACTGTGAATTAGTGCCCAGTCTCAGCATCCTCACTGAGGAGATTGCAGGGAGCAGCCCCAGCAGCCCAGTCCAGGCAGGATTTGATTCCACCTTCAGCCTGTGGGATGGGGCCGCTTCCCATCCTCTCCGAGGGCTCTGCTCTCCTCTAAATGATCCTTTACATCTTGGAGGCTGCTGGGCAGAAGTTCAAATCCAATCCTGCCTTCTGCCCACAATTACACCACTCTCAGGCAACTGAAGTGTATTTTTGTGAGCCTTAAATAAACATGACATTGTCCATGTAACCAAATATGTACAATAATCATTTTTGCAGAATGCACCCATTTCAGTGCAAATCCAACTCGGGGCTCATTTCTCCTCATACAACCAGTGAAACAAAAGCTCAAGCAATGTTTTTCTGTTTTGGTTGGTTTTTTTTTTTTTTTTTTTTTTTGGTTTAACCAGTGGCTTATTTTAGTTTCTCTACTTAGTGTGCTTTTACTTTTAAAATAGGAATTTTGGCCTAGAGAACACCCTCAGTTTACTGATTTTTCTATCTTGCAGTATAACATTTGGGATTTTTAGGTTTGGTTTTAAGAAGGTTTCTAGCACCTAATTCACACGGATAAGAGAGTCATGCTTAGGAGCCACTGTTTGATATCTCTCAGGCTTGTATGAACATGGGGTTAAAATTTACATTTCTTCCATGATCTTTATCATGGAGCACCTTTACTCTAAAAATTGCCTTGATTTCCTGACGAGCAGCTTCTCCAGTCTCCTCTCTGGAGTCTTTTCCACCGTTTCCCTGTGGCTGGCAGGAACATTTCCTTCTTGCAGCTCCTGGAAAGGGTTAAGCGGGGTTGTGCTGCTCCAGGGCGGGGGCTGAGTCCTGCCCAGCCCGGGCAGGGAAGCGCTCGCTCCGCAGGGACGGGAGTGCCACAATGCGGGCTCAGAAGGGACCATTGTGAGCCCCAGTTGGGCTGAAAGAGCCGGAAAGGCTCCGCGCTTCAAATTCAGGATTATCAGCTCCACTTCCAGGCCGTTAAAACTGTCCGGGCTGTGCCTCGGGAGCGTGGGCAGAGGCTGGAGCAGGAAGCTCCGGGGGAATTTGCTGCTTTGGAAAAGCTCTGTCTGGGCTGCCCCTGAGGAAAGGCAGCAGCTCAGTTCCTTTTGGAAGTTTTTTGTGCTATATCGGATCCATGAATCACTTTCCTGATTCCTCTGGTGCAGTTTTTAAAGTGGAGTCCAGCAAAAAGATTTCTTTAAAGTACACTCAGTCCTATTTCCTTCTGGATGTTTGGGCTCTCATTTAATAATATTTATCTAAACTAAATTTATTAGCAAATGCAGAAAGTAAATTATTCATTCTAGGCCCTTTTGTACATTAGTGTTTCAACTTGTAATTTGAATATAATTTCCTATTTTCATGTATTAAACCCTGGTTGTTGTGGGAACCAAAGATTTTTCTCTCTTACATATTTCCATCCTTCCTGTGCTGATACTGAATCTAACCTTAAAAACACCAGCATCCATTTCTGCCCAAGTAAATAAATTGTAACTAAATTGCCAAACACTTACTGTGTTTAAAACATTTTAGGTTATTAAAGGTTATTTTTTATTTTGGTGGGTTTATTTTGCTTTGTTTGTGGGTTATTTTTTGGGGAGTAGGATTTGTTTTGGGGTTTTTTTGTGGTCAAATAAATGTTCTCCTATTCATGAAATGTCTGCTATAGTTAGAATTCCTGAATCAACTTCCAAGTGAGCTGCACCTGTCCTTTCCAACGAACAATAGTGAGATTTGGAGCATTGTTCCTGGGTTTATGGACATCCTGTGGGGACTTTGCCTACAACAAGCAAGGTCAAGGCCACTGATTCTGCTGTTCCTGTCTCTGAGCCATTGGCTTGTGCTGACCTTTGATCTACCTCTTTAATTGTAATTGTTAATGAAATAAAGGCCTTCTTCTAGGCTCTATTTACAGAATTAATTTTATCAATTACATAGAGAATTACTCCTCCACTTTTTCATGTAATTGCAGGTGATGACTATTTGATAGTGGCTGTTCACTTCCTGTCACTTTGACCCTCTCCACATCCTGGGGAAAAAATAAAGGAATCCCATCATAGATCAAAAAAAATGAAGGCTGAGTTTGGGAAAGGGTGTGAGAATTTCAGGACTGAAAAACATTCACAGGAAGAAGCTTAGATGCCTAAAACAATTCCTGTCTGCCTCTGCTTCAGAGCAGTAATGGATTATAGCAGCTAAAATTTCAATTTTTGCTTTGGGGTTAGACATTTTACCTGTGTGCTGTATTTCCTGACATGGCACAAATTCTGCCATCAAACAAACAAAAAAGACCAAATATCCTGCTCCATAAGCCTGAAGTGCCATAAAAAATAACAAATATGGTTCTATATCATTCATAGGTTCACTGAGCACCTGCTGTGTTTGCTTCATGCTCAGAATGATGAATACAGAGAGATAACATGAGGTTATTTCTGCAATAAAGCTATTTATCGCTACAGCACTACAATGACCCATTGCTCTCTTCCTTGTTTTTCAGGGAACTTACCTGTCCTTAGCCTTTTGAAAAACTCTTTTACCTGTTCTGTGAAGTAAGAAGGAAAAGGATTCCTGGGACTTGGCCATTTTTTCATGGAGTTACCTATTCTCATTTCTGATACTGGAAATTCTGTTTGGGATCTGTTGAAAACACCAGGGGAATTTATTTCTGTGTTGCTGAACATCCTGTGCCTTTTGGAGGAGGGAGAAGCTCACCATGGTCTCCTTTCCTGACCCTTTGTTCCTGCAAACTTGAATTGCCTGTGCTGTTTGTCTGAATTTCTTGTGCAATCTTTCCTGCAGTTCTTTCTGTGAAAATAGCCAAATTAGACAATGGTTGAAAGTGGCAGAAACAGCAGAAAATCCCTTCTGACCAGAGCAAGCTCTGAGCTGCCATCTTTTGAATGAAATGGCACTAAAACCTGAAGGTGCACTGTGAAATTTGTCCATTTGTCAAGGAAAAAGTCCTTAAGACTGATTTAACTCTTTTAATTTTTGGTCTGTGAGATTATTTTTGTGGGAGAACAGTGGGATATGGGGAGGGAATGGCAAGAATTCCCAAAGCTCTCCCTACCATTAATGAAGAGCTGAGTGAGGCAGAAGAGAGCTCAGTGTTACAAGGTAATCTTTAATTCTACTGTACTCTTTTATGAATTTTAATTCAGTGGGTGCTTTCCCAAGTCATTCCATCCCTTCTCCTGCCAGGAGGGAGCTGCAGCTTCCCAGGGCACCACCTTGTGGTCGTGGTAAAACTCAGGCCAAAAGGAGCCAAGTCCTTAAATTTGCTTTAGAAATTAGAAAATATATTGTATTTATAGTATCAAATTGTAAGTTCTTATATCTGCAATCTATCAGCCATCCTCATTACCAATATGTTTAAATAATTAACAAGTTAATTAACTTATAACTTGGAGAAAAACAGGAGTTGTAGTTTTGCTTAGTGAAACGGTCAGAAAAGGATACAGCTACAGTATATAGCAAATGTATTGAAAAATAGGTATTTATTAGATATATTAAATAAGAATAATATGAATATATGAATATATTCAGTTCAGATTCAGTTCTTGCTATTCAGACACGCTCACAAACACAGACACTCTGCTCCTAAGTCTGAAAAATAACTCCACTCAATAATTTACATACTTGATGGAAGGTTCTTCCAGCTTGGAAAATCTCTATTTCAGACCATCTTAACAAAGAAATAAATCACAGATTGGTGTAACTGGAGATAACTTGTTCCAGGGTTGTGAAGCAGTCCAGGAAATCTTCCTCTTGGATTCCAAACTTTGCGTACTGGTGAAGGTAAGCTCTGTGTGTTGAAGAATGGGTCAGACATTAGAAATCAGCAAAGATATTGGCAATTATTAGTGAAGTACAGCATAATTATTTTCACTTACTTGGAAGCAAACATATTCCAAGCTTTTCCTACGATGCTGTCAAGAGGTTTCAGCAGGAACTGGCTGTTGCTGACCAAAGCAGCAGACTTTTCATACTTGTTAAATGCTCTGGGAGTTTTCCATGCATTGAAAGCATCCTGAGGGTTTAGCCATGATGTGTATAACGAGGGATCTTGGAAACTTCCTGTAGCAGAAACAGGACAGCCCTTTGGACAAAACCCACACATGATCCCTGTGTGGCCTAATCAGTGCTGCCAGATCAGTTCAGGCCTGGAAAAATATCTGCAGAGTGGGTAGTCTGTTGAAAATACAACTATTAAACAGACTCCTTAGATTATCTAGAAGCACACTGGTGTGGATACTCCAGCTGTCAGCAATGCTCATCACTCCAGGAACAGCTAGATGTATTTTCAGACATTATAGCCAAGAATTCCAGATATACACTTGAGTCTCTTCCTCCTTCCCTCAAGTGCTTCTGGAAACTCAGAAGTAAAACACAACAGCCCTAAGCAATTAGACAGTGTGGCCTTGGACAGCAAAATGTTTCTAGAGGGAATATCAACCTTAGGAGTCAAATGTGTGGTCTTGGGATGTTTCCACTTGTATCAGATCTGGCTGCAAAGTCAGCAGTGAGATGTGAAACCAGACCCCCCTGAGGTGCTGCGCTCCTCCTCTTACCCAAGTCCACGCCGTGCACATCTTTTCCTCTCAGGATAACCAGGTTGGCAATGGAAGTGTTAAAGTGCAGGGGTTTGTTTGTGGAGGGGATGGAGGATGGTGGTCGTACTTGCCAATCAATACCTTTGGGATTTGGAAAAAAAAGAGATGGAAAAGCAAGTTAATGTTTTGTGAAGATGCAGATGGGAACTATCATTGTGCCCCAAACTGAGACCACACTGGAGTTTGTGGCTGCTGCACATGAATGAAGCAGCAATCACACAATTCCCAGAGAAAACCACTGCTAATCCAGCAGGATTTGCCTGGCAGTCACTCTGCCAGAGAAAATAGATACCTGTTTCTATACTTAGCAAGCCTCCAGCCCATTCCTTGCATAACTGGAGCTGTAACTGAATTCTCCATGTAAATTAAATGGGAGAGCTGAGCCTGATTTCTATGCTTAGAAGGTGTAAAAAGAAAAAGCAGAGCTCACCATCCAAGGAATGTTCCAAATGAGTTATGTAAATTAAGTGCACAGCCACAGACTGCCAGTTTGGTTTGTGTATTTCCAATAGTTATAATTAACTGAGATGTCTGGAAGCAGAGCAGGAGAATCTGGGAGCTGCTGTGGCAGCTGAGGGAATGGTGAAAGGAGCAGCTGGTTTTGTGGGGGCAAATTCCTACTGAGGGCAACAGCTTCTTTGTGAACTCTACAAAACATCCAGCTTTATTGCATCTGCACAAATGAGTGTTTTAAAGAGTGATGGAGAGTGAGAGAGTGGGGTTTATTTACCTTCCTCCATTTGAGCATTAGCAATGAGCATCTGCCTGAGGTGTTTGATGAGGCCAGGCCAGCTGAAGGTGCTGTAGGGCAGGGAGCTCTCAGGCATCTGGGGGATGTTCCTCAGGCCCAGCATCCTGAACTCGGGATGTGGCACCAGCGACTCCATTAACTCTCCTGAAAGGAGAAATCAGCTGCTCATGTCTGACAAAAATATTGCACAGGGCAGCTAAAGTGGGAGAAGAGTGATGAATGTTCAGAGATTTAGCAATTTCGAAGCCATGCAAACTTGCTGTGTATTACTGAGTTCTATACAGGGTGTAGTAGCTTTTATTTTACAGTTTAGGTCAAAATCTCAAGGAGTCTCTCTGCACTCCAGACAGATGTGGAAGTTTAATTTTATAAGCAATAAGGGCAACTTTCTCTAATTCTTTCAAGTTACAAATGTCAGTCTGCTGCATGTTGCTGCCCAGTTCTCTGCTCACCTCTTCTGCTGAGCATAACTCAAAACTCTGTTTCAGCTCATGCAAACTTCTAACCCAAAGTGAAATGCGAAACTGAGTCCAAAATTACTGCCCTGAGCAAATTTCCTCTGAAATGTAAACAGGTACAAGAGTGTCTGTTTTCACTTGAAAAAGGAGAAACAGGGTTCTTTTGGTGAAGAATGAAACCAGAAGTCAGGGGAATCTATTTTTGACTCTGCTACATCAGGATTGAACGTCTAAATTGGGTCTTTTCCTGTCTTAAAACTTGGGATGTATCCAAATACTTGAGCAAGGAGACTGAAGAACTCCAGTTCCCAGCTGAAGTGACCCCAGAAAGGTGTGTGGGTGCTGGGTGTGGTACCTAAAGGGTTCCTGCTGTAGCCTGAGCCCCCTCCTGCTGTGTGAGTGGGCTGGAAAACACTGCCCAGCTGGTGGGCAATGACTTGATTGACATCCCTGAAGGAAATCTGTTTGATATTCATCAGCTGGGCACAGATCTTGTGGATGACATCATTTTCATGGACAAGAAGGGCATCTGATGAGTGGTACAGATGTGACAGAGTCAAAACAGAGTTGTAGTTTTGAACAATGACCTGGAAGCAAACAAAAAAACACACACAAAGAAGAGACAAACAATTTAATCTCCTTTTAGTTTATAATCCCCTGGCTCCTGCTGTTTCCTCAGTTATGATTTAGGAAGTGATTCATTTTCTTTGCCAGAGTGCAGAATGAGGTCAGCAGCTCAGAGCCTTTTCATGGAAAGAGGGCAAGAGCTGTGAAAATCAGGTTATCCATCTCCCTCCATACAAACATGCTGGAACCAGATCTGCCTGGGAACTGATTACAATGCTGAGATAAGAGCATATCAGGAGATTTCTATTTAGATATCACAGCTTCTTGTGAATCTGCATCACTTCAGCATTAAATTATCACAAAGATTTTTTTGGTGAAAATTCTTTATCTGTGATACTGAAATCACTTGAACTTTTTCAGTATAAAATATACCAATTTTCTAATTTACTTCTGTTGTAGATATTTTGTTAAAAAAAAACAGTGATTATAAGCTCATAAATTCTATGTAAACTATTATTAGTTATGAAAAGGCAACATGACATTCACCTCCCCAGTGCCATAGGGCCAGACCACATGGTTCAGTATGAAGGAGGTTGGAAAAGCATCTCTCAAACACTGGGTCACAAATGCTCCCAGGCCTGATCCTGTGCCCCCAGCCATGCTCATGATTGTGAAAAATCCCCCGAGCCGATCACATTTCTCTGCTTCTTTCTGCACCAGGTTCATGATTGCTTCTTTGTGTCTGGGCCCATGAACAGAGTAACTGTGGGGTAACACAAAACAGCAAGACAGGGCAGGCTGCATCAAAATAAAAGCACAAAGGTGAAGTTATTCACATAGCAAATTTTAATTTAGCTGCCACAGCTGCTGCATTACCACTCTTAGGGAGTCTGAGCAGCTCATCAGCCTCCAGAACTCCCTCAGGGAAGCTTGAGGCAGCTGTTCCTACCCGTTGGCCCAGTTGTTCCCAGATCCTTGCTTCTGGCAGAAGTGTGACTGGCTGCTGTACTTCCAGTGGCCAGACCTGGCAGCCATGGATAAGGTCTGGCTGATCACTTTGGGCTCCATGTCAACAAGCACAGCCCGGGCAACAGGTACTGCACAGGAAGGAAAACAAAATTGGGGAAAAAGTGCTGATTATTTAGGTGGGATGGATGGATACAATGTCCCACTTCAGCCAAACTCATAATGGGGACAATACAGAAAGGCTCTGGCCATCCCCTGATTGCTGCTGAGCCATTTATTGTGCCAAAACCAAATCTGAGCTCCAGAGAGCACACATCTCTCATGAAATAAACCATTTGATGTTTGTGTGTGCTGAAATCGGACCCTGAGAGGGAAAAAGCCCTTTAAAGCTGTACCTGCAGACTCCTCCTCGCAGAAGAACCGTTCCTTGCAGCAATCTTGGTAGGATCCATTCTCCTTCTTGGAACACAACCCATGGGTGCCACGGATGTCACTGCAGAGAGCACTGAACACCTCCTGCCCAATCTGGTTCCCACACTGCCCAAGCTGCACCGTGACAATTGACATCCTTATTCACTTGGTATTTAAGCCTGAAAAAGAAAATTATTTATTTTCTCACTTTTGCTTGGTAAAGCAGGGTAGGAACAATCAATTATAACTCAAGAGTTACGGGACTAGGATGCAAAATTGGAAAACTTAAGCCAGTTCAAAAATGTTGCTATTTTCCAGTTGAGAGCTGCATCAGGCCTGATGCCAGAGCCTGCTGAGGGGACAAAAGGATTCCCTGGAGAATTCCCCTTGTTTCCACCACACACAGCAAACTGTTTCGACTCCATCCTGCTATGTTTTGACATTTCTCCCCACCCAGCATTTGACAGCAGCTGTGCTTTCTCACTTTTCTATCCCTTCACAGAAAAAAGGTTATTTTTTTTTAACTCTCTTGGTTATTCTGGGCTGCTGTTCCTCACTGCCATCCCAGCCGCGCCTCAGCACTCCTTGGATCGCTGTCCGTGCCTGTGAGGCAGGTACGAGCTCACTGCCATGCCCACCCGCGTCGGGCCAAGCCGGGTGTCACTGGGAAACCGAGTCACGCAAAAAATTTAAAAATATCTGAATTATTGCCAGAAAACGCTCATGTCCAAAGCGTACGACACCGACCCTCCCGTGTGGGTGAGAATCGAGACCGACTCCTGGGGGAGCCTCACTCGGGTCGCCGCGGCCACAGGACCCCCTCAGGGCCGGTCTCCCCCTCAGGGAACGCCGCCATCTTCCCGGCGCCGCCTCTCAGGCTGCCCCTCGGTCCCGAGCCCGTCCCAGAGCCTTCCTCCTCAACAGCCCGTCCTTGGATCGCGCTGTCCGTGCAGGTCCCGCGGTCGGTCCCGGTCCCGGTTCCGCTGTCCGTGCGGGTCCCGCGGTCCCGGTCCCGCCCCCTTCGCTCCCTCAGCGCTCACCTCGTCCCCGCCTGCGCGCGCATGCGCACCGCGCGTTCCGGGCAGGCAGCCCGGCCGCTCCCGCCCACGGCGGCTTCACGGCGCCCTCTGCGCACGCGCCTCCCGCGCGGCTTCACCGCGGCCTCCGCGCAGGCGCCGCTGCCGCTGCCGGGGCCGGGAGGCGCGGTGTGCGCGTGCGCGGCGCGCGCGGGCGGGGCGGGCGCGCAGGCGCGCTGCGGCCGCGCAGCCGGTGATGGCGGCCGCGGCGGCGCTGCGGGGCGCGGGCCCATGAGGCGGCGCAGGCCCCGGGCACCCGGCGGAGCCAGCGAGGGGCGGCGGCGCCATGGCGGGAGTGTTCGACATCGACCTGGACCAGCCCGAGGAGGCGGGCTCAGACGAGGAGCTGGAGGAGGGGGTGAGAGCGGCAGCGGGGCCGGGGAGGGAGCGGGGCAGGCCTGAGGGAGGGAGGCGCGGGAGGCGCCGCGGGGCCGGGCGGGGGCTGCGCTGAGGCGGCGGCGAGGCCGGAGCTGTGGCCGGGCAGGGCCCGCGCCGCCCCGGGACATCCGCGCCGCCGCTGCTCCCCGCGGAACTTCGGCCTGGGAGCGCGGCACAAGCGCCTCAGCGGGGCTTTTTTAAAAAAAAATTATTTCTGTATTGTCACATGTCCGAACGTCAGTGCGGGAATGCCGATCTTTCTGGAGCCGTGTAAAGTCGCTGCTGTCGCGCCAAAATGAAAAGGCGAGGTTTGAAACGCTGCGTTAGGCGGGTCAGCGCTGTTTGCGTCTCCTGCTCGCCCAGCAGCGCAGCTGATAATGTGCAATTTGCAGCTCGTGATGCTCATCTAGATCCTGTCAAAGCCTTAGGGGGATTTTATTGCATCATCTCTGTTTATGTTTTTCTAGGTCTTGTGTTGCTTTTTGATATTGGTTTGTATATTAAGCGTTTGCTGTTGCTCAAAGTGCCACTGCATTTCTTTTTTGCTCTTTAAATACTGATGTCAGTCTTGGAGTCTTCGAGATCATGGAGTGATTTGGGTTGGAATGGACCTTAAAGATCATCTCAGGCCGTGGGCAGGGACACCTTCCCCTATCCCAGGTGGCTCCAAGCCCTGTCCTCGGACTTCCCGGGATGGGGCAGCCACAGCTTCTCTGGGCACCCTGTACCACGGTCTCCCCTCCTAGGGCAGAACTTCCCCCTGATATCTAATCTAAACCTCCGTGCTCTTGTAAAAAGTCCCTTCCATGTGTGCTGTAGGTTCCCTCCAGGTACTTCCCTTGGGAAGATAAGCAGATACTCTGTTACCCACGCTCCCTGGAACCTGCAGGCATTGTTTTGACAGCTGAAGGCTTGAAAGCTTCTCAGGCTGCAGGAGAAGCTCTGTCTGTCACCTCAACAATCAATAAAACACTTGGCTTTAGAAAATGTTTCTTGCATCAGCCTGTTAATGCTGCCAAGAACAGATTCTGATGGAGGTGGCCAGAAAGTTGAGTTTGTTCTCTCCTGTGTTCCTGTAATTTAGTCTCGGGGAACAATGAAACCATTGTGGATGTTCAAACCTTGCCATGATTGCCATTTCTATGGACTTTGGCAACCTTGGTTGCTCTCAGGTGCCTTTTGGCAAACAGATAAAGGAGGGTGAGAATGGGCTTGAGCAAGGAATGAGGGGAACATCAGGAATGTGTGAGGGAACAATTCCAGTGGAAGTTATCTCCACAGGGTGTGTGTCCTGCTGGGATCAGAGAGAAGATGCAGCCAGAGCAGTGGAGATCCAGGAATGAGCAAGGGGAACACTCAGGACTGTGTTGTCAAATTTCTGGTGTTGGTTTCTGGTATCCCCCTGGTATCCCCCAAAAATTGTGAGTCCAGATAGCTCAGTTGTGGGTTTGTGGCACAGCCATCCTGGAAAAATCTGAAACCTTGTTTAAGTTTCCTTATAAGCTGTGTGGTTGTTTGCACTAATTATTATGGTGAAAAAAGCCTCAGCCTTAATTTAGGTGTTTGTAATAAATGAAACAATGTATGGACTGAAGGGCTGGTGGCTTCCCAATGCCTTTCTTGGTGTTGTGACATGAGAAGGAATCCTGAAAAAATACCAGAATGGTATTTGAAGTGACTTTTGGTTAAATTAAATACTGAGATTGAAACCCAAAGTTCACAGGAGCAAGAGCAGCAGACGTAAACTTTGCCAGAACCATTGGGCAACAGGAGGAGTTGCTCTGGGAACTGAGGGGTGTTTATTGTCTGGGTTGAATTTTTAAAAATTCATTTGTTGGCATCTAAGAGTGGGGTCAAGGGCAGCTCTAGTGGCTTTTATTGTGAAACATGTCAATAAGCTGGATTTCTCTAATAAATGTCAACAGGAGGACATCAGCTGGCAGCTCTCTGAGCTGGAAACAAACCTGATCTTTTGGACTCCTTAACTGCTTGTGGTGTTAGTAGGTGGATCCAAGAGTTAAATTCCCCTTTAGATCACCCAAAATAAACCAGCCTCTGTAAACTTAAACGTTGCAATGGTCTGGAAGCTGTTGAAAAACGTTTTGAGTTTTCTTTGGTTAGTGTTTTCACTTGGATAATGTTTTAAAATGCACTCCTTGGCTTGGGCTGATTTTTGTAGATCTCAGTGGGTTTTCTTTTTTTTACTCCTCTGAATTTCACAAGTCACTCAATATATTTATATCAGTCTGTAGGTCCCAGGCTGTTCACCATGAACTCACAGTTGTTATTTTGTGTCCATATTTTTAAAAATAAGAATGTGACTGTACAGCAGTCACTAGAAGCTTGCCCCTGCCATTCTATTTGCATTCATTCCAGCTGTCTGCTGCCTTTGCATTTCTTTTGCCATGCAGAGCCACAGTTAGAGGGAAGGGATCAGGTTAAAAATTCTTTGAGGAAAGTATCTCTTCAGAATTCAACCCCATTTCTTAATGGTGACTGGTTGTGGTGCTGAAGTGCAGGAACTTGTTCAGTACTGATTATTGGTCAGAAAATTTGCTTAACTTTAGAGTAAAGCTGAATTCTTTCATCATTATTGGGATTTGACTAACCAACATAAAATAATAAAACTTTCTCAGTAGATTTTTAGTGCAGAGGAGTCCCAGTTCATCTGTTCACATAATCTTTATTATTGATCTCATTTGCATAGTACTGCAACAGGACAAAAAATTTCCGTGTAAGAGGAATTTTAAAGAAAACTGCAGTACCTTAACATTTTTCAAGTTCACTTGGGGGTGTGAAATTGTACCTCTGAAATTTAAGTGATTGAATAACTATGCAGCCAAGTAAGACAGGGGTTCCCTGTGTCACTGTTTGAGACTCATGGCAGTACTGCAAATCTGGCACTGAAAATCTGGCACAGAATTTAGTAGATTTTTCGATCTTCTGCTGATAACTTTTTATTCCTGACCTATTTAATTATATAGAGATTTCTTCTCAAACTTAAAAAGTCGTAAACCACATCAGTGCATTTACTTTTTATATTTTCCTTTTTCTAATTAATCTTTCTTTTACACTTCTCATCCCCAGGGGCAGTTAAGTGAGAGCATGGACCATGGAGGAGTTGGCCAATATGACCTGTAAGTTGCTGCTAGAAAATATTCTGTATCATTCATGCCCACCACAAATAACTTCTAATTTTGTTACATTGTTAAGGTAAATAGAAAATGTTGTCATTCTGGTTCCATTTTGAGTCATTTTTAGATGTTTCACTATTTCCTCACATTAAAATATGTCAATTGTATCTTGAAATAAAATAATAATAATAAAAAGAATTCTGGTGAAAGCTGCTGTTTGTCTTTTGATCCTTGTTTCTTCCAACAAATCTCTTGCCTTTGAATAACATTTGTAATATGGATATAATGATACAAAGAAATATCTGAGTTAGTTTGAGGTTTTCATCCTCTAAACTTAATTCTGGTGTAATGCAGAGATGTATTGTGCATTAAATTGAGGGGGTTTGGAGGAAATCTTGCTACTATAAATCCCCAAAACCTGCAGCCAACCTTCTCAGTGCAAGCTGCAGCTTTGCACACCACCAGCAATCATTCCTGGTGCTGGGAGCCCTCCAGCTCTGTCACTGTCAGTCAGACAGACACTTTCCAGGGAGTCAATGCTTTCATTTCCTCACTTCTCACTACCAGGTAGACTCACAGCCTTGTTCTGCTTTTCTGCAGTGGGATGGAACATTGTGAAAAATTTGAGATTTCAGAGACCAGCGTGAACAGAGGCCCCGAGAAGATCCGCCCCGAGTGCTTCGAGTTACTGCGCGTGCTGGGCAAGGGCGGCTACGGCAAGGTCAGAAGCCTCCAGCACCGAGTCCCTCCCACCCTCAGGGCCCCTTGCTTTGCTCTCATCCCCCCTCTCTGAAAAGTCCATTCTGCCACAGCTGGAACGGGCCAGAAGCACCCCCAGCTGCCAGGCGTGGCACTGAGCTCCCTGGCAGAGCCTCACTGGATCGGCCCAAACTCATTCTGCATCCAGTCTCTGCTCCTTGCCTTGTAGTTTGTGGGTGATCTCCTCTCTCTCTCTCTGTTGCACAACTTTGCTTTTTAGCTTGTGGCAGTTAATGCAGCTGAAATATGTGATTGCTGTTGTGTTGGTGTTGTTTAGGTGTTTCAAGTACGAAAAGTAACCGGAGCAAACACCGGGAAAATATTTGCCATGAAAGTTCTTAAAAAGGTAACCTGAATTTCACTACTCTCTGAATCTTAAAAAAAACCCCAAACATACATCCCTCAATTTTAAAATTATCTAATGATTTAATATGCATAAAATAACTTCCAGGATGTACACAGTTTTTATTCTGATACAGTTGGAATTAGAATTAAACTCCAAATTTTTCTGTCTGGGTAGTTCTCAGCAGCTCATTTAAATAGGTCAGGAGGTCCTTTCCAAGCTACATTGTGTGAGTCTATGAAATAAACCTCTTATGTAGATATTGTGGTGAAATGTAATTTTTTAATGCTGTTGCTAACTTCTATGTAGCATTGTAATTTAATAAATTCAGAATTGAATCAGTATAAAAGTCTGCCTTGTTTAGCATGTTCTGTGCTCACATATCCCT